GCCGCCGGCGCCGCGGGCCCGGGAGGAAGAGGGACCGTCTCCCCGGGAGAGGTGGGCGGTCGCGCCGCGAGCGGAGGAACGACGCCCCGAGGAGAAGCCCAGAAACGCAGGAACGAGAGACGGAGGAGCCGCCGGAGCGCTGGGTCCCGAGCGGCCCTTCGGGGACTCGGGAAGGAAGCTTCCTCCTTGCGTGAGGTAAAGATCCTGAGCAGCCGACGGTTAGGCCGAGGGCAAGTGAAGTAACTGGTAGGAAAAAAAAAAAAAATTAAAAAAAAGAATTCAAAGAAAAAAAATCTGACTGATGGAGTAAATGCTCCCTGTTATTCCTTTAATAGGAATTTTTTTTCTATTTTCTAATTATTTCGTTTTCCTGCGAAACGTTGATTAAAGGGCCCTAGTTTCAGGCGTCATTTAAAGACACGAAACGTCTCCGTGTTACTTTATATGCGGTGGTCAGTTTGAAATAGGTCAGCGACATTAGATCGCTAGAAAAGTTTTCTTTTTTAGATAAATAACCTGTAAAAAGAAAGAAAGAAAGAAAAAAAAAAAGGAGCAAAGATGGAAGTAGATAGCAGCCGAGCCTGTGGGCCAGTTACAGCCATGAGGGCCGGAGAAGCTTCGCGAATCCTCTATGTGTTACGTGTGTGAATACTTGGGTGTTTTGCACCTGCGAATCGTTTGCTTCCTCTGTCTTTTTCCGTCTGCTTTTACGTACAAGATGTTGGAGCTTAACTTGACCGTTTATAGTCTTTAGGTAACAGTGAATGTCACAAGACGGACTGACTTGGAGAAGCAGTTTAGGGAACCAGAATGGGTACGACTACTGTTGGGACGTTTTCCTTCGGCTAGGTGGGGAAATAGAGTTGTTGTATAGAAGCTGGAATGTGAGCAGAAGGGTGCATCTGGAGGCTGAGTAGTCAGTAGCGCTGCGCTGTGCCAGGCACCAGGTTGGTGCTGTCCGCTCCAGATCCACGCCTCGTTGTCCCGCGTGTGGCCCTGGAGCTGGGGCCTGTGCACGTGTCCTCGGCCAGCGGACACGATGGTGAGCTCTGTCAGTAGGTGGTGCGGAGGGACACTGCCCCAGCGAGGGGCGTCTCCTCCACGCCCACGGGCTTTTCTCTTTTCTTGATCCTCTGGGGTGTGGCAGCCAGAAGAGCGTGAGACCTCTAGTGGTCCTTACCCCCAGCAAGTGTCAGTGGCGCCAGTACAGGCGGCACGCCCCACTGGCGTCCCAGCTGGTTTTCAGGGGAGCCTCCCAGGTGCCCCCGCAAGTCATTTCCCAGCCACTTCCGCAGGCACTCCACTGGTGGCTCCCCAGCGCGTCTCTTCCCTGTCCCAGCTGAACGCAGTAGGAAGCACAGGATGTAAAAGGCATCCATCCGTGCTTGATAGGAAGGTAAAAGCTCTTTGTTCATAGACCACATGGTTGTCTATGTAGAAAACACTACGGAATCTACAAAAAATCTACTAGGACTAATGAAGTAAGTTTAATGAGGTTGCAGAATACAGAATCAGTATACAAGTATAGTTTTATTCACATATGCTACAATAAACAAATAGACATTGGAGTTTAAAAAGTCATCTTGAATACATTAAATATGAAATAGGGATACCTTTGACCTACAAATGTGCAGAGACAGTCCTCTTTGGATCTATTAATGTTTATGCTTCTTAGGACTATACCGAGATGGTAAGCCTCTAACCATTCTTTTATTTGTGTCATTTTCCCAGGGCTGATTATACAGCTAGTAACTTTGAAAGGTAAAGTAATGTATCCCCACTGGTCAAAGATAAAGCTTACTTACAGGTTACAAAAGTGATAGATACACCAAGCTCAGTGCTTCTCGCTTAACGTTAAAACTGCTACATGTGCAGAATCCGTGTGGGTCCAGGGCATCACTTGCATGGGATGTGAAGTTTATGCTGTTTATTGTGTCGTAATAAAATCTTCTGTTTCTGATACGGGTGTCTCATGTCTTTTGCTGGCATCTATCGAACTGTAGTAAGCTTAGGTTTTAAGTGGGGTAGGATCAAATTAAAGACTCAACAAAGACTCAACAAATACACTGAAACTATTAAACACTGCTGAGAGAGGTGAAAAAAGAGGTAAATAAATGGAGAGCTATACCATGATTATGAACCGGAAGACTGAATATTGTTAAGATAAGCATCCCCATTTATAGTATGCTGCACTGAGGTACAAATATTCATCATTTAAATAAGTCCCCATATGTTTCCAGCAGGGAGAAGACAAAAATAATCATTTGAAAATACATCCAGGGGAAATGAAATACACCCAGGGAGTTCTCCATTAAAGTCTGTCCCTCCAGGGAAACTTCCAGAGTCTTGTGTGACCTGGGAAAAGAACAGTCTGACCACTCCGGTACCCTGTGGCCTTTTTGTCTCACGTAGTGGGAGAGGGAAAAAAAGGCTAAGAAGTGCTTCTGTAAGTTGCTATCCAAGGACTTAAACCCACTAAGATGCTGAGATTTCATCATAAAGTTATAAAAATTTCCCCTCCCCCATACCTTATGAAAATATCAACTGGGCTCTGTTATAATAATAGTGATTTATAACCGGGAGAGATGTAATTTAGGAACATCCTCTGTCATTAATTCTGCCTCATTTTCTGTCTTCTCCCTCTGGGACTCCAGTGATACAATAGCATGATTGCCCATTAGATCCCTTGAATGGAAGCTGCAGAGTCTTCATGCTAACTGCCCTTGGCCTGTCTAGGCACTTGGCCTTGGCGATTCACTAGAACTTTATTTACCCGCCATCCCGCATTTTCCACTGTAAATCTGTAAGTTAGCAAACGCTTGAATCCCTTTTCTTCCTATAGGCAGTTGTTTAGACCTCAATTATCCCTTGGGTTCAAGAAAAGTAATTAATTTGAAGTGTGTGTAACCTTTTACTTGTGGAAAAGGTGGCAGAATGCTCTTTCCAATTCTGTAACCTCCAAGATGAAAATAGAAGCCTTGTTACTTTTTTCAGTTTGTAATACTTCTTTGACAGCTGTTGTTGAACTGAGATCTGTCTAGAGTGTCTAACTCCTGACTTTATTTCCATGTTTTCGAGTGACATTAGGACCCCACCCTGTTGACCTCATTTAATCTTATTTACCACCTAGTGGGCCCTGACTCCAAATATAGTCACATTGTGGGTTAGGGATTCAACATATGAATTCGGGGGGTACACAAATCAGTTCATAAAAAGAAACTCTGCCATAGAGAGATTCAGAGTTGCCTTGATTTTGTTATTGATAAAATGGGAGAAAGCACAGCATTTATTGCAGTGGGCTAGTGTGGAGGTTAAATGATTTAATAAGCCCAAAGCACTTAGAATCGTGCTGGGGGAAGTGAGAGCTCTGTAAGTACTAGGTGTTAGTTTTTTTTAATGCTGTTTTCATTTTTGTTATTTAGCTTTTTTGCTATTTGAGTATCCTGATAGGTCCTAGTTTTCAAGTGCTTACCCCTTACGACATGTGTAGTTGAACAGAATTTAAGGGACTTGGCTGAGTGAGACATGAAGAGAAAGCTGGAGCACCTGCAGTAATCTAGCTGCTTCTGACTGTACTTTCACACCACTCCAACACCAGCTGTTTTACCCCCACAGAGACCTGGGGGCACTAAGGTCACATGGATATGTCTCCCCACTGCCCACTTTCTCATTACGTGGATTGCCTTTCCTTTGGGGGATGATCTGAACTGGCTAATGGACCCTGGGCTCATATGAGCCTCTTACAAGTCCTTCCTTGGAAAAGTCATTGGAGTGGAAATTACAAAGTCCATATTCATCTTTACAGATAAAGAAGGACCCAGTGGCAGAAGTGTTTAAGGCGAAGGCAACATACCCTAGAACCAAGAATAGATAAAAACGTCTTTCTCTAAATTAAGTCATGCACACAAGATTCATGCAAAGCACTTTCACAGCCAAGAGACCAAAGAGGAGAACCTTTTTGTTCACAAGGCTTCTGGTACATGGAGTGTAACATGTGCCCTCAGAGATGCAACAACAGAACACAGGAGTGAGTATATTAAATCAAAATTACAGTCCTTAAATGTGCATTTATTTATATAATAGATATATTCTATGTTACATCATTTTCATTTCCACTTTAATGTATCAAAAAAATTTCCCCCTTGGTCCCCAGTTTTGTTTCTGAAATGTTTTATGGTGTGTTTACTGCAATTGAAGGCAGATTTTTAAAAAATAAGTTTCAAGTTTTTTGGCCTTTTCAAGAGCTAATGCACTGAAGTGCACTAATAGAGTTCTTTATGGAATTGAACTTGGAGCTAGGCATTGGACTCTTTTTTCAAAATGAAGGATATTTTTTGTAATATAAGTCCCTTTGTGTGAGTTACTTGTGTGAGTTAGCTCTCGATTTAATGGCGTGTAAACTGCCTCCATGAATGAGGTGAATGAGACTGTGGATCCTGATACAGTTGTGTTCAGTGTAAGCTATTCTTCAGGGCCTTGGTGCTTTGATGGCATTATCTTAGTTAAGGCTGTTCGGCATCAAATCCTGTGAAAATATTAAATCCTTGCACTACAGTATTTGTGTGATATAAAAATCTCAATAGTAAATCCTTGCCCTAAAATATTTGCATTATATAAAAATTCCAACAAGGGATCACAGTGTACCATGGAATGCAGGTTTTACCTTTGGCCAGCAGGTGGCAATGTTCAACCCA